CATTCATAACCACAGTCCTTGATTAAGTTAGCTATTTCACTGAAAATATTACGCCAGAACAGACGTCTGACGCTACTTGCAAGATTCGACTACATCAATCTCCATAACGTTTTACGCAGTTTTACGGTAATACAACTATTTGATATTTTGAAATAATATTATCTTTAATTAGGGATTTACATCAAACATCACATTTTAATAATGTATTAAATAATACTTATTATTTTGGTTATATTAATATTTCTAAAAGACTAAATTTAGAAATAACTTTTAAAATTAATGAGTTTTGTTAATATCCATCTATAGCATTTAAATTGATGGACAGTCCAAACACACACAAATCATTCATACAGCAAATGAAACAGACCCCTCAACAATTCTTATTTGTTTATTTTTATTCAAATTGATAGTTAACAGTTTAGTAATTAATTAAAAAGCATTATCATCGGTATGTTTAAATAGGTAATTAAAGATCAAAAATTAGTTTTAGCTCATATATTAATTCAATCAATAGTCTTCCATCTCCATCTTAATAGTAGCATTCCTCACTTGGTTAGGTAATAGATGTAAAATATACTGAGTTTAATTCAGGTATAACACTTATAAAATTAAAATTATAAATAATTAAATTCACATTGTTGATTATATATTTATGGAACAAACATTACGACTGATGAATATTTTAATATATTGAATTTTGTTTAGTACACTTATTATAATACATATTGATAATTATTATATTTTGTTTGAATTTTTTTAATTTAATATTTTATTATTTATAACTATTAGTAATGTATTTAGTTTTAACAAGTATAAAATAATTAAATTGTATATTAATTTATTTTAATTTTAGCTTGTGGACAAGTAATTAATATCCATAATGTGGATAGTACCAAAGGATTTTCGAGTGAACAATTTTTAAACGATACTGTCATGAATGATTATATGGATCTGATCAATAAGAGTTACACAATGTATATGTGTTCAACACCTACTTTTATTTTGCGCTTATGACGAGAGGATTTGAAAGTGTTAAACGGTGGTTCGAAAATTGATATATTTTCAAAGAAAAACTAATTTCAATACATTTACAACAATATAAACATTGGATCTTAGTATGTGCAAACCTCGAATCACAAATTCAATATTATGATAGTTTAGATTTAATCAATTAGAAGTTCTAGGAAATATATTCAATTTTATAACATTTAGAATCTAAAGGAACACAATTGGTTACGGCTAATTGGAAATTAGTAAATGTAGAAGATATACCTCATCAACGTAATACTCATGACTGTGGAGTGTTTGTTTGTACTTATGCTGAATATTTAGCAAGAGATGCCATATTTAATTTTTCTCAAAATCACATGCAATCATTTAGACATTTGCTTATGAACTAACGGTAAAGATTAGTGGATGTAAATGTGGATGCAAAAGATATAGAGTTTATTATGAATGTTATAAATTCTTGATAAATAAATCAATTTATTTTATAATTCAATGTTATGTTCGGTGATATTTTACTGAGTTGATACAATTGAAGTTATCTAAGTACTCTAAACGAGTTATTTGTTTTGTGTAAAGTTGATATGGCACAATGATTGTACTCACTTTGGTATACTTATTACAACCATTTTAAATTTAAATTAAAGATGATTCTTCACATACTAGGATCCAATGACTACTTTTTAAATTAATGGAAAAGTGATTTTTGAAATATATCAGTTAATTGTGTCCGATGTTTAACACGATTAAGGTTTTGTCAGTAAGTTAAAATAAATTAATGAGTCAGGACATATATATGTTTGAAGTATGTGCTGAAAACTAGTCCATCACTTGAACGAACCAAATTTTGCATTGATGGCCATCATAATGGTAAATAATTGACATGATTTTAAGTATGAAATTTTTATTTAATACATGTATTATCATGGTTCACTTTAACTTTTGAACTCATTGTGAATATTCCAGATATTTCATACTTCTAAGCTTTAAGAAGACAACACATGCAGGATAACTAGCTTAAGAACCCATAACTACCAGTCATGAAGTGATGCTGATATAATGGATGACTTTGTGTTGTAGAGTATACTATGTTTTTGTATTGTTTTTAACGATATAAAATACTTTCATACAATTTTTATTGAATGAAATTTATCTATCTCCAAAATTCAGATTACATATTATATCAATGGACAGTCTTATATTGTGTAGTTATTATTTTATTATATATTTGAAAATTATTGAAAAAGGAGATGATATTTTTAAATATAGAATTAGAGATAATGTGGAATGTTTACATAAGTATTATAGTTGTAAACTTTTTTGGAAATAAATAGCAAAAATAATAATTATCAACTAGGAATATTACAATTTCATCAATAAAGTAATCTTGTTCATGTATTTAAAATTTAATTTTTAATTAATTAATTGTATTTACAAGAATGAAAGTACAACATGCTTATATATTTAGAATAACTATGTCATACCATTTAAATACTTTATGAATATGTTTAATTTACTTAATTTGATGTATGTTTGAGCGAATTAGTACAAATGTATACAGCTAGAGAAATATAAACCAACCAACCAGTATTTAAATGTATTGTTTGTATAATTTTTAATTATGGAAATATGTATTTTATTCCTCTTGCCAGTAACAAATAAAGTGCAATTAAGTATAGTATTAAAGATAAACTTGATAAAGTTAAATTAAATCCTTACTACTAGATCGGGTATGAGCTTTGTTTTGATGGGAAAATCATACTACAGTGCAGAAAGTGATCATTGTTAACAATAAATGATGAAAGAGTATGGTTTCTGCCATTTATGTTAAAGAAAAAGAACACTCGGTTGTGTTTGATAAAATACCAGATAAATCTAATGAGTATGTTTGATATAGAATAATTTAACTTGAGTACAGCATCAGAATTCTATCAATATATTATAATATACAACTATTTATATATATATATTTGAATACAATGTAAATATTTCTACAATGTTGAATGTGGTTGCAATGATTGTAGTAGCTTTGGTATATTAAGTATGTAAGCATTTTATTTTACACAGCTATTTAATAAATAGAGTTCTTGTAATAAAAATGTGATCATATTTAGAAAAGTTAGTTTACACACAAGAAATGGTAACAACTAACAACTAAACACTTATGGAGGTGCTATATAATTCTAATTCTATTGTTTATTTATGTCACCGTGTTCCGTTTAGTACATGCTTAAAATGCTTCTTTTTTTTACTGAATTAAGTAATATAAAATATTATTTCACTAAAAAATAAATATTTTAAAAATAATTATTTACAGTAGGACCACTCTTCATTAAAATATTAACCTGAATATCATGGAATATTATGGAATATCATGGATCGTAATACAGCTATTATAATTTACTTTATATTTACTATTATTTTATAAAAAAATTAATTTTGTTGTAGAAATAATAATAATTGTAATGTACTACTTTTGAATTTTTAATGGTTTAATGTTTATATAAGCTGATATTATGATACACATTATTAATTTATTATAAATTAAAATCTTGGAACAAAATAACAAATATTAACTTTTGTTTCTTTTTTAAGGTTATGTGTGTAGTTATTTTTTTTTTTCACCGCGAGGTTAATAGTTATAATTTATTAGCTTTATCATCATCATACCAAATAATATTTTTTGTCTCCTGATTCATGAGTCCTGGACACGTGTGAAATATTGAAATTCTAAATTATTAAGTCTTGTTACTTCTGATTTTATTTTCAAATTTTCGAAAACTGAAGGTAAGTTAAACTCTTATTTTTTTAATGCCATTAGTATCAACTTAACAATTTTGTTCCTAATTACGGACATTTTAATTATTTTTGTTTTGATTGTGGTTAAATAATAGATTATCTAATCACTTCGGAATAGGTAATTGCTGTTCTATTACTAAAGACTATGGGACCGGTCCAATGTGTGATCTACCGATAAACTGCTATCTACAATAAAGCGTTATAGGTAGAACTACTGAAAACATATCTATATTTTACATTATAGTGCTATACCTATATAATTATCAATATGATATGGATTTTACGACTGTATTGTATTTCTAAAATACATCATTTAAACATTCCGTTATCATTTAGCGTTAGGTCATTTCGTTTGTTGGTCAATTTTTCAATTTTTTTTTTATAACTAGTTTTGTAACGATTTAAATTTTAAAATGAATTCTATTACAACAATGGGTTATTTATTTAAAAATATAATTTTTGATGAATTGAAATTGAGCTCATACTCAAACAATAGAGTCGTTATGGAAGTTAGTCAAGTCTAAGTATAATATTAAAGTTAATGGTGCATCTCCATTATTAGACCGCCAACTTAAAGAAGAATGGTGGCGGTCATGCCACCTGGTACAAACTCAAATATTTAATGATTTTTTATCAGATTTAAAAAATACTTTTGCAGTATGGACATAATATATAGTTAATAGTTAATCACACATTGGACCAGCCATTTATTGGTAGATTACACATTGGACCAGCCGTTTATCAGTAGATCACACATTGGACTGGTCCCAAGACTATTACGTCTTTTTAATTTTTTATATGATAATATATTTTTTTTTAACTTAAAGAAACCAAATTTCAAATAAGATAGGTAGCTTTTTATTTCCTTATAATTATATTGTTTCATATACCAAGGGAATTATTTTTATCAAAAACTAGTATAGGTTTGCATGTCTGACAGTAATGATTGATCATCACTTAAGACTGTTGCCAATATTTACTTATTATGAAGTGAATCGTTTATATATATAAGGTATACTGTATTTTAGACCTCTGTGTGCACGCTTTAAAGTATTTCTTTCATACTTGGAATAGAGAATAGAACTGATTTCAAATGCAATGTTTTTTTTTTTTGTAGTTTGTTTAAATCATTATTAAAATTAGAAGCTTTGTATTAAGCAGTAATAAGCAGCATTTCAAATTTATTACTGAATTAATTTTTTAAGATTAAGTATTGATTATGAGATTAGTAGCCTTATTAGAAGCTTTAAGAGTTTTTTATTTTTAAATAAAAGTAATTTTCTTAATTTAAGTAAAGAAATATGTGCATTATCCAATCAATATTTCTTTTTAGACTACCCATCTTTAGTTATATTTTATAATTAAAATATTAACTTATGAAATAAAGGAATGTTTATATTTATTAAAAAAAAAAACTAATTGGTGTTTCTACTAAGAACCTTTGGTTTCAACTCTTTTTTACATTTGTCATTTTTTTATTTTAATAATTAACTAAATTGTAAGAATAGGCTATTTCTTCAATTTTATTGAATATTTGTTTTTAATAATTTAAGAGAAGTTAAACATATTGTTTTAATGTAAACATGGTAGCTTTTTAAAATTTAGGATTATGCGATAATTATGGTTAAATTCTTAATTAAAAATAATTGATAGAAAAATGTATAGTTTTTCCCTATAAATTTTAATATTTGTATATAGTTTTGTGAATTGTATTTTTAAAATTAATAAAATAATTATACATTTATTATTTATTAGAAATATGGACATTGATAAAAAAGAATATGTTGAAGCTCCGTCAACAAGTACTGGTAGAGGTGTTGTAGAAAAAAAAAGATTTGAAGTAAAGAAGTGGAATGCTGTTGCTTTATGGGCTTGGGACATTGTCGTGGACAATTGTGCCATTTGTCGTAATCACATTATGGATTTATGTATCGAATGTCAAGCCAACCAAACAACAACATCTAGTGAAGAATGTACAGTTGCATGGGGCGCGTGTAATCATGCTTTTCATTTTCACTGCATATCTCGTTGGTTAAAAACTCGTCAAGTATGCCCACTTGACAATAGAGAATGGGAATTCCAAAAGTATGGTCATTAATAGAAAAAAATTTGAAATAAAATTTTAATCTACATTTTTTTCATCTCTCATATGAGTAATAAAAATTTAAGTATTATCAAAATCTCACTAAAATTAATATTTATAAAAAAATATTGAATATCAATAGTAGAATTTCCTTCATAGTTTTCATATCAAACTATTTATCTTGTAAAACATTAAATTTTATACATTATTTAATAATAAAATTTATATACTATCAAGATAAAAACTGCTTTATTTATTTTACTATAATTTATTGATAAAAATGAATACTAAGTTATTTCATTTGTATTAAGTTAAAATGATTTTAGGCTAAACTCTAAATGTAATAGTCCAATATGAACATACATCATAAATAATGTTAAATTTAACCAACCTTAATGTTATTTAATTTCCTGTGTTGTCAATAGCTATGATTTAATAATTAATTTCAAAACAAGATTACTTTTATTATTCACATAATGAAAGGTGACTATAATAATAGCCATTAAGACTACCATCTTTTGTTGTTTTTTTTTACTATTTCTTAAATATTCTACTAGTTGATCATTAATAAGTCTGTCTTTTAAATATCATAAACATGTCACTTTGGCTAAAAGTAACCAATGATAGAAGTCGTTTAAAAGATAATGTACTGAAGAGTTTTTAATGTAATTCTCTACCAAATATTATCTAAACATCCTCTGGTTCTACTTACAATCTTCAGAAAATATTTAAATTTAAGCTATTATAAGGAATAAAGAATAATGGTTAAAAATTAAAATTCTTATAAGTGTAAGTATATGTATGATAAATAGATATTACATATACTCTATGAAAATGTATTTTTGCGGCAGAAGTCTTGATTTAACTATCATATTCAAAAAATCATTACTGTTTAGTATTTATTTCAACATATTTAGGTGAATGTTAAGTATAATTCTATAGATATAATAATTGAAGCACACTCATAAATAATTAAAATATTCCCTGTTGTACTATTTTGAACAAGTTTTAGATTGTTAGGCACTCATGGTTAATGACAATAATTTAAAAACTATAAACCAATTTTTTTTCTGTGTAATACTACCACAGATGAGATATAATAATAATACTACCAGGGAAACATGGAAATGTTAAGAGAGTGTTTGGACTCTGCTTTCCATAACAGTCCTGTGAATTGTGATACAGGCTAGAGCCTTGGTCCTCAAGTGAGTAAGTTTCAATTCGCAAAGATGAAAGAAATTTAACGTTAGTTATTTTTAGTGATGGGAATGATTGGAATAAGTAATATTTACAGTCGTTGTAGACATAGTTATTAAAATTAACCTAAACACTTTAATAAATTACATGATAGAATGTATCAAAAAGTACAAAACCATACAGTTGAAATTTGATTTACAGTAAGTAATTATCAAACAATGTAAATTTTAAAACCAAGGATAATATAATGAGCACATATAAAATGTTAAATAATATTATTCAATTATTTATATAACCACTTCAGGAAATGTAGATCATAATTCATTTGAATTTCAATAGTATTATAATCGGTGATTAGTAATTTAATTATTCAAGTTTTGACTACCAATCATTCGATCATTTCCATCATTAATTACCATTATATTCTATGTAAACTGTTTGGTTAACCAGTGTCCTACTACAATTTTATTAAAATATAAACAAAATTAACTACTTCACTGTTGGTTGTTACCAGTTACCACACTTTAGGTGGGATATTTAAATGTAGTTGTAAAGACTAGTGAAATCGACAAAATCATTTGATACTTTAATAGATACTAGACAGTAACTAGTAAGGACTAATTACTAAGTACTAACTATTGTTACCATATGGATTATACTTTTTACAAACAATATTTACGTTTGTTAGAGCATTCTCCATAATGTTTTATTTTAAAATAATTTTACTCAATTTTCTATACCCTCTTTATTGTGTCATGAAATTGTATTAGGTATAGGTATCATTATTATTATAACAAAGAAAAAAGTTCTGTTAGCTTTGGTGTCATGATTTCGAATAATGGTTGGTGACATTATAAAGCAATAACCAAAAAATATTCCAAAACAAAACCTGAAGACTATACCATGGTAAAATGTTACAAATGTTGTCCCTAGTAGGACTTCTATAAAAAAATTATGTGATGTACAAGGGACATTTTATAGTTTAATATTAGTTATCTCATCGAGTAAATGACCAAGCATTTATGATAACGATAATGAAAAAGACCTTAAACTTTAAAGAGTATAGTGTCTTATAAAAAGACTGACCGAATGGAGATTAAACTGTCAAAAGAACAACTGTTGCCAGAGACCAGAGTGTTATTTCAGGAATGATCCAGCAGCGATACGTTATGCACTTATGTATTCTATATGGGTAGAACACAATTGCGTACGTTTGTCCTTTTTGGCAACACGATTGCGTATATTTGTAGATGGGTTAAAAATACCTTTAAGAAAAAAAAATAAACACGATTGCGTATGAAATTGTAAGCAACGTTGTCAAATTTACTAATTTCATCGTATATAAAATAAATAATAATATAATATAATATATAATAAATATCGAATACATTTAGCTCTATAATAATTCAGAAAAAAAAAATAATAATAAAATTTACAAATTACCTGGTAATTGACAAAAAATATAATTTCATAAAATAAGACCGATTTTGCTTCAAAAGAGTTAAAAATGCAGAAATATCTCAAAAAATCACAAAATACGTTAAAAAGCAAAATAATTTTTTTAATTTGAGTTCTCTGTATCATGAAACACATTTTTAGCTTATTTTACTATTTTTTAAGCATCTTATAAGAATTATACAAAATCCATAAAATCTCAACCTTGGTCATATGTGGTATATGTACCGGCAGGACCCCCTTGTGAGGGCCCTGTATACCGGTAAAGAAATTGGCAACAACGCTTAAAACTTCGTACGCAATCGTTTAGTTAAATATCAGGTAAAATCGTACGGAATCGTGTAGCTTAAAAAGGTGTCGCCTATAACAGACGTACGCAATCATGTTTTACTCTTCTATATCTATTTACTTCTAAATCCTCTTATTTTATAGTTTTACACAATCTTAAATCAAGATGAATTATAATCTATTTTATTTTGTTTGTTAGATATCTTTCATAAATAATACTTGTAATTTTATGTTTTAGGACTCGCGTCCGTTAAATTTTCCGATAATATTACCACATTTGCTATTTAAGTACTATCCTGTGAGAAAACTGTTCACTGATTGAGTTTTTGTTTAATATACCTACTTTGAAATGTAAATAAAGTATCATGGATAATTCTAAAAAAAAGTTATCATTTTCAAAAATGAAAAAAACAATAAGTCAGTGTAAATGCATTATGGAAATGACGTTTGAATTCCAAATTTATTACGGTAAGTTTAAATTTTCATTATATATTACAGAAGCTAGAGGCAATTTTTTTTTATAATTAAATATTTCAAACTATTGATACCTACATGTTGTGGTGTACCTTTTAGTAAACAAATTTATGGGCGTACAAACTTAAAACTCAAAAAAAGGGCTAAATATTCCTCAAAAAAGTTTGAAATATAATTTTAAAATTTGTAAGTTGAAAAAATAAATACTTAATACTTTATAACTAGCTTTCTAACTTTTCACTTCGTTTCTTGTAAAAAAATGTAACCGTATTAAATGTGGTTGCCGAATGCTAACATATTTATCGTAAGGGAAATTCGGCGTTGCTTTTTTTTTGACTATTTAACATCAGTATTGTTTTTAAAATTATTATATTTTTTTTTATCCATTTATTTTTCATTTTGGACCAAAAACTAATATATTAAATCATAAATTTTCAATAATGTGAACAAAAAATAACGAAAAGTTTGGTACTGTTATTGTTATACTACATCAGATATTCACTAAATTATCAATTTTTAATAATAATTAATAATTAGTTACACACTTACACGTTTGAAAAATAAATAAATATTTTTATATTCTTATTTGCCGATTATTTAAAAAATTAATAACTGGTTTTTTCATTAACTTGTAAAATTAAAAATAGGCTTAAACTTGCTTCGTGAGGTACTCTTTCATTAAAAAAAAAAAAAATCGGTACTGGTCTAGTTGACCCCCGCCAGGAAGACAATTCCCCCGCCACTTACTTACATCTCTTGTATTTTTGATGTTATAAAATGTATAATATACTGATATACTGCAGAGTGCAGATAAAAAAAGGTACCGAATCATACGTTTATTTGTTAGACGTAAAAATAATGCTGGTCGAATACTGCCACAGCAATGGATATTTGGTGACATATGTCGTGAGACCAATGAGTGTTTTGTCGTATGTGTACCCAATCGATCGGAAAATAAAATACATTATTGCCAATAATTTCGAACGTATACGAGTTGGATCGACCATTATATCTGATTCCTGGCGAGCCTATAATAACCGGCCATTATACACATTCAACAGTAAACCACAAATATAACTTTGTGGATCCTACAAGTGGAGCTCATATATAGATTTTTGAGAGGATGTGGGGTGGTGCTAAATGGGGAACACGAAACGTATAGTGGCTAAGAGAAACTTCCTAGATTCTTATTTGTCAGAATTTATGTGGCGAAGTAAATTAAACGGTCGCCATCCATTTAAAGACATTTTGAAGAATATAGCAGAGTTATGGCCACCTGCATAATTTATAATTATTTATTTTTATTTTTTATTATATTCATAATTTATTATTATTATTTTTTATATTTTGTTATATTAAATGTATAATGTATTATTAATCGTACACTTTTATATAAATTATTGGTTATCGAAAATACAAAATGTAAGTGGCGGATGTCAACTAAACTTGAGTGGTGGGGTAATACCTAACCTGAGCGGTCGGCCTCGATGACTACACCACCGAAAAGAATATGTACTAATAAATATTGAGAATTCCTAAACGTCCATACAAAACGTAAATATTTGAGCCGTACGTAAGGCGTATAATATATAAAGATTATATTATAAAACACGTAAAATGCTATATTATCAACGACGACGTGTTTACAAAACAAATATATGCGATATCACAATCACTATCGTCGTGATAATAATAATAATCAGACAAACATGATGCAACAAAATCGTGGTACTGTAACGTCCCCTCTTCACATGCGTGT